AGATGCTATTCTGATCCCGGTAGGAGGCTTGTCCCCTTCACTTCATCCGTGTTAGTCGTTTCCCACGATCATTCCAAGGTTAGCACCATAGATTCCACTAAGACAAGCGACGCTACCTTAGCTCCAGACTGCACCTAACACGGTTCAAAGCATTCATCTGATAGCAAAGTGAATTCACAACCGATATAGATCAAACCATGCATGATCTGCTGGGTTTCTCCCTTTTACATGTCTCATGTCTCAGCTTGATTGACACTATTCGACATTATCAGGTTGCTGGGGAAATAAAATTGGTGGCTGATTTATAGGGGGTCAGAATGCTGAACGACGTTGTCTGACTCAGTTGGGGCCGTAGGTAGGCAGCCCTCCAGCCTCATGAGGGGGACTTCCATCTATCAACTTGACTTTTCTCCAAAAGTCTCATCGGCACAATCGCGAGCGCGCAATGACTTTTGCGACGCGTCGGAGTCTTCGTCGCTCGCAGACAGTCGACCATGATGAACTCGCTGATACAAAAATTGGGTTAATCTCGATGCCTCCCTCCACTCAGCCAAAGCGTCGAGGACGACCGCCAAAGTCGTCAACATCCGTATTACGAGGACTTACTGGCTCCAAGCCTCGTGGACGACCGCCAAAGGCATTAACATCCGTATTACGCGGACTTACTGGCTCCAAACCTCGTGGACGACCGCCAAAGTCATTAACATCCTCATCGCGCGGAAAGCTCACTGGCTCCAAGCCTCGTGGACGGCCTCCTGGACGGCCTTCCAGCACTGCTCCTCACATAATGACCGACGTACGCATCGCACTGAAGCTGGGCTGGCGACTGCGGAAAGCCACGATGGGGAAGCGAGTCGGCGACGCCGCTCGATCGGTATACCTTCTTTCGCACCAGTGGCCGTGGGACTTGGTCGCAGGCTTCAAACCAAAGAGATGGAGCATCCCGGCTGTGGAGAATTTGAGGAAGCTCTTTAATATTATCTATCGAGTCTATCCAGCGGATGAGCATCAGAACGACTTTCGGTTTGTCAAGAATTATCTACGCGAATGCGCAATGAAGCGCGATCGACGGCGCCCGCAATTGAAGAACCGCGATGTCGAGGATGCATGCGATTATTTCGCCGACAGCGATTATGTCAGACGCGACGTTGTTCACACAGCAGCGACGCCGTCCAAACCCTCAATCGCCACTGTCATGCAAGAAGACGAGAATGGATACATAGACTTTATTGACTATGGCCATTATTTTGACGACGACGATGATGATGAAGAATATGTCGACATTGCTACTCCTGCAAAGCGATCACGAACACCCTCGTCGCCTGTGCTGAGCCCGAAGCGAGCAAGAACGGCGGAGCCTACCGAGCCACGCCAACAGACCATCACAGACATCACCAATTCATTGCAATCATTGCACGCCCAAAAGCAAAAAGAGCTCGAAGCGGTAACCAATTCACTGGACGAGATCGCAGCTTCAATCCAAGCAAATGAAGCAGCTCAAATAAACCACATCAACGAAAAAGTCGACAAATTGACCTTCGACGTGAAGGCCTACGAAACAACACGGGAGAAGATCCTCAAAGCTCGAAGCTGTTTGGAACAGCACTACGAAATAATGATGGTGGACGAAGACGATCTCGCAAAGAGACTACAGAGATACGCGTCAGACCTCAAAGAATGCGATAAATTAATTGCGCAGGCAGAGGCCGATGTTTACAAGGAGCTAGATCAGATTAAGCAGAGGGATGTTAACCTGGCAGATGAGGAGAAGAGGCTGGAAGGACGCGTGAAGGAGGTTCTGGAGGAGGTTAGACATTGCAGTGTTGTTGAGATGCTGATGAGGTTGGGGCCTGGCGGGATGGCGAAGTTATTGGGGACACTGGAGGGGAATGGTGTTGAGTTGGTTGAGATGGCGGAGAGTATTATGAATGAGGCTGGGGAATAGCATAACTCGTTTTATGCTTATAATGATGTGTATCTTGTGTTAGGGCTAATAATAATAGGTCTTTACTTATTATAATAAAATATTAAAGTTAATTTAATTACTTAAGTATTTAATTTATTAATATAATTTTTAATTTTAATATTTTATATTATAATAATTCTTAATAATTCTTTTTAAGTAATATAAATTAAATATAAAATAAATACTTTATTTTAAAATTAATTCTTAATTTTATTTATAAAACTACTTATTATATAATAAAAGGTCTAATCTTAAGATAACCCTAACTAGCCTGGCTAAACCTTAAGTAAACTTGGGTTATATATAATCTATAGCTACCTTCCTTAACTCTATATTAAACTTATACCTTATATTAATATAACCTTTTATTAAGGCCCTATTTTAATTAATATTTCCTAATAGATAGTAATAATTACTATTTTTAATTATTTAATTAATATCCCCCCTTTTATTAAAATTACCTAGCTTATAGCTAAAATTATAGATATTAAAAAAGAGACTTAAGTCTTATTTGCCTGCTAAATTAGCTAAACTAAAAGATAATACTTCCTATAACTTAATTCTAAAAAGCTTTTAATTAAACTATAACTAAAATATAGCTTTATCTATAACTAATAAAGCTATTAACTAAATACCTTTTTAAGCTAGTAGCTTTTATCTTTATTAAAGAAAGCTATTAATTAAGCCTCTTACCTTAACCTTTTAATTAGGTTATTAAAACTTAAATCTAGTCTATTAAGACTAACTTTTCTTTTCTTTTTTCTTTCTTTCTATTTGTTAAAATTAGCCTATAACGTTTCTTTAAGACTAACTTTAAGACCTTCTATTTTTAAAGGCTAATTTTAATATATTATTTTTTAACCCTTTAAGACTAACCTTCCTTCTTTTTATCTTGACTTTTCCTTCCTTTAAGATTAGCTATAGAATTAACTTTCTTTATAATAATACTATATAAAGACCTATAAGCTGCCTAGGCCTATAAAAAAGACTGCTAAGTCTATACATATAGTCTATATAATATACTCTTTCCTTTATAAAATTAACTCTTTAAGTATCTTTAAAAGCCCTATCTTAACTAGTAGATTTATTATTAAAGAAAGCTAATATTATAAAACCTTTACTAAAAAGAAAAGTTTTACAAGGCCTAATTTAAGTCTTTTAAGATTAATTTTTAAAATTATTAATAAGAAATATAATTAAATAAAATAGCTTTATAAAACTGACTTTATAACCTTTAATAGAAAAGGCAGTCTAAAAAGACTGAATTTAAAGACCTTTAAGCTAATCTTAAAGACCTTTATTAAAAGAAGCAGTTCTTATAGAGGGCTATTACCTATCTCTCTTTTAAAAGCTATAACTTAAAGGATAATATTAATAGTCTTTTTAACCTTATTAACTATTAGAAATATTAGCTATATAAAATAAGCCTTTTTTTTAGCTATTTTAAATAACCCTTTTTTTATAGCTTAATAAAATAAATTAGTCTTTTTAATTATCTTTAAAGACCCCCTTTTAATAGCCTATTAAAACAAATTAATCTTTTTAATTATTATAATTAACCCTCTTTTAGCTACTTAGTTAAATAGGCTTCTTTTTATAACTATCTTTAAAGACCTTAATTTTATAGCCTTTTATAATATAAAGGCCTCTTTATTATAACTATTTTTAATATTATCTCTTAAGATCTATTTTTTATAGCCTTAATTAATAAGGCTTAAGAATTAGCTATCTTTTAGGCCCTTAAAAAAGCCCCTATTATAGCTACCTTATAAGATAGGCTATTCCCCTTAATTGTCTTTATAGACCTCCTTTTTATAGTTTAATTTAATAAATCTAAAGAGACCTAAAGATAGGTCTCTTTTTCCCTAATCCCCCTAGATCTATTATATAATAGAAGGTTTAATCTTAAGATAACCCTAATTAGCCTAGCTAAACCTTAAGTAGACCTAGATTATATATAGTCTATAGCTACCTTCCTTAACTCTATATTAAACTTATACCTTATATTAATATAACCCCTTATTGAGACCCTATTTTAATTAATATTTCTTAATACTACTATTATAAATTATATAACTTAAATAAAATAAAATAATTATATAAATACTTAAAATTAAATAAATAAAAGCTTAATATTGCCTTATTAGCTTATTAAAGATTTAACTTAAATAAGGAATAGCCTTTAACTCTAATAGTGGCAGGCTTACAGTAGTTTAAGGCTAGCTATAGTGACTTATTTAAGTAGCTATAGTACCCCATATTGTATGTATACTTCTACTCTTGGATTTGCAAGTTCGGCGGCCTCCCAAACGATATCGTTTACTTTTTAAATAGATTCGGTTTAACTACATTAACTGAGAATGACAGCTACGTGCTGTCTTAACTAAAAGTAGGTTTGAGACCCAGCTGTCTATTTAAGCAAGACAGGCCTTTGGTGAGGTCTCCTCTTCGTATAAACTGGCATTCACATAAGGGCGTTTGTCAGCGCTCAGACATACTGTAGATAAGCTAGAAAGTTTAATTTTCCCGTCGGCTTTTTTTGTGTGTGTCTTATATAGGTTTTAATCCCTCATATGCAAAAGTCCTCTGCTGGATGTAACCATTTTCTATTTTGTTTGCATCTCAAGTTGTGCTAATCGGCATTTTGGCCTGGTCAGTCACAGCGGCCTATAGTCCGCTTTATAACAGCCTGAGACACAACCACGGTCCTAGACAAAACTAGCTCCACCTGTTCGGTACGAGCCGAGTCACGACTGCCTAGTCGGCTGGTTATGAAACATGGATTTCCCTGCGGCTCTTAGTACAAGCTGTAGCCTCTGTGCCAATCACAAGATGAAGGTACTGTAGCCATCCGGCCAGCTAAACATATCACTGACAAGTCTACTTGTGTTGACAGTGCAACGGCAAGAGAATAAAGTGCGCCCAGTATAAACTATATCGGTCTATACACCCTCGTTATAATGGGCGGCCTGTCGAACGATTCCATACACCAGAGAATGATGGTAGATCATGCAACACCGCTGCTGGCGACCAGATGCAGTTTCTACCCACTGCAAATAACCCTCTTCAGAAGGGCAGCCTCCCTCCGTCTAAGCTCAGCACGAATATAATACCTCAACCGCACTCTGTATCTGAGCATGAGGCCATCGCCTATTTTTTGCAAGAATACTCCGTTCAGCCGGGATCAGGGGGCTTCGGAGGGCATCTTGACACTCTGCAAGACATGTACGAATCATCTCATCGCGAGTCATGTCTTCAAAAGGCCACTCTTGCAACCGCTTACCTGTGTCTGTCACGCCACTATAAGTCATCTGCACTCTACTCCTTGGCTTACGAGTACCGTGGCGCTGCGCTGCGAGCTATTAACAGAGATTTAGCCTCGACATCAAGTAGCTTCAAGGACAAGACGCTCACATCGATAATGTTTATGGGCATGATGGAGGTTTGTCACACAATTTGTGGATATGCACCGAGATTGAGGTTAACATACGCTCTAGGACATCGATCCTCAAGGGGTCAGTAAGAAACCATACCATATGCTCGGCATTGCCAGAATTTACGAAGTCGCTGGCCATCGACTGCTTAACAACATCCACAAGAGGCAACTTGATGGATGGATCTTCTCAGAGTTGGTCAGTCGTTGTTTCCTAGGTACTGTGCCGTCCGACACTAACTATATGGCAGCAAATTCCATCGCTCAACGCTGACAAACCACTCGATTGTTTGACTGTTCCCGACACCGACTTAGAAACGGGCAACTTTTACATTCGCTTGGCACACATCGCCACACGTATTACTCACTTCTGTCGTCGTGCGAAGCAGCTCTCATCAGGCAGAGCACTGGAGGCATCAGAGCGCCAGACTCTACTACGGGATAAGCTCGTATCAGTCATGCAACAAGGAATGAGTATTCAATCGGAGTTGGTCGAATTGAAAGGCTCGCTGCCACCACAATGGAGCAACTGGCAGACAAAATATGAACAGCTAGCCAGTACTGTAAGCCCAGCACACATCTCGAGATGGATAGCTTGCCTGGGCTGTGGCTTTAACATGACTTTGATGCTGTTCTTCAATACCTTCTTATCATGTTGTCGTACCCTTGTGCGCATCGATTATCGCAACAAGCGACCAACGCTAGAGACGCGTTTAGCCGAAACGTCGATGCCGCTAGCAGCAGCACAATTAAAAAGACTGGTCGCTTCTATTTGCAAGGCTTTGCCGTACATGATGGGCGAGGTTGATGAAAGAGGGGCTCGACTCCCCATACCGCAGCCACAGGCTATCGTTGCTTATCGTCTCATCTGGCCACTTGCTGTTGTCATTGTCAGCCCACAAAGCACGCATGAACAAATTCAAGATTGCCGAGCAAGATTGAATTGGATCAGGGATCAGTATGGAATGAAGCTTGCCTCTGATGTTATAACCTTAGCAAAAGACCTAATGAATTAATATTAATATATTAAAAAGGTTAATTAAAGATTATTTAGGTAAAGTGAAAAAAAAGGCTAATATAACTAGTAAGAGGCAGTATTAGTATTACTTAATTAAAGCAGTAGTTATATTATTAAAGTAAATAACTATTATAAAATTATAATTTTTAAAATATAAATCTATTATAAAGGTATTATTATTTAAGTCTTTATATATAAACATAAAAGCTTTATAGCCTTTTAAGGCTAATAATATAAAAAGAAAAGATATTAAAATATATAATTAATTAATTTTGTATTTAAAAATAAATAAAATAATATTAATAAAAAAGTAATATTTTAAATTTAAAATATTATTTTTATAACTTATTAAAATACTTAAATTTTACTTAATAATTATTATTAAATTAAAGCTATATAACTATATAAATAAATAAATAAATACTTAATACTAAATATAAAAAAACTAACTATTTTTACTTACTGCAGTATCTCTAAGAATGCAGCACTTTCCAGATTTGGTCTGCACAGTACTATAGACACTATGTCTAACATTCAGCGTCACGCGCCAACAAAAGGCGCCCGCAAAATACTCCATAACGTCACCTACTTCTCTCTTCTCCCCCTCTATTCTCACCAAGGTTTGGGTGCTTCGCTCAGGCCTCTTTTCTCGTCACATGAGTCGGAGTCACATCTTCTTTTCTTTTTCCCAGACCGCTAGTGTCACTCACCAAATGATCGCCTCCTTCTTCCTCCAATAGCTACAAGCCAGTCTCGCACTGTACGGCTGGGCATGTCTCGGGAAGCAAATAAAACACGGATACCAACGCGCTAGCTGCCCGCGAATTCATAGTGTAAGACAGTAGTGTGTATATTATCAAAACAACCAAGACATTCCTGCCAATCTCGCTATATAGCGAATCATCAAACTCACCCGTATGATCGGCTCGTTCGAAACTCTATCGGCCCACTTTGTCACACTGTGTGTAATTGTCCAAATTCGACGTGAGATATTGCCTCTTTGGGTAATACTTTTAATGGTTTCTGATTTTTTGATTGGTTGATTTATCTGCTAATTAAGAGGCATCAAAATATTCGTTCGAGACGATATTGCTCCGTTTTTCTACACTGTTTTGGGCTTTGGACCTGGTCATCTGTCTCAAACCCCAGCGTCATGAGAGAATACCATTGGTGAAGAGAAAGTCTAGAATGCTATATTGATGTCATAGTTAGCTGATCACTAGCGTTGTGAGGGTTGCAGCCACTATCACGACCTCCTTTTTGACGCGTCTCGACAATGGTGGAGCTATATAGGAAGATGATATTACCCGTACTAACGCTCGAGTATAAATACCATCAACTCGCGATCGAAAATGGCCTTCTTGAGTAAGTCATCTATAGGTATCTCCGTCACATGCTGCACAACGTCTAATGCAAAAGCCAGTGATTCCTCCCGTCGTCGCCGTATCGGCAGACCCTACGGTAGTAAGGATTCATATGCGCCACGCATCAAGAGAGGACTGACATCTACAAGTACATCTGATGACGGAGCACCTGGGGAACCAAAGGTTCTATCAGATGAATGGATCAGATTGAAGCTGGACAAGAAAACCCCTCCTCCAGATCCTCGCTACGTCCTCGCAAGAGAAATCGAGATCATCTCGACCCAGTGGCCATGGGAATGGACTCAAGGTTTTGAGCCCGAGAAGTGGACTATCGCCATGATGCGGGACCTGCGGGATCTGATCAAGGGGTATCAGGGCAGGTTCAATCTTTACAACGATAAATGCCATCCTCTCAAGGTCGGTCTGATTCGCTCCGCGAGGGAGCGGGATAAGAACAATCCAAAGCTCAGCAGAGATGATCTGAGTAATGCCCTCGGGTATTACGAGCTTGATACAAAGAAAGAAAAGAAGCAACAGCAAGTGTCTGTGCCCTGCGAGAATACCGCCGCGATACCGATCGTGGTTGAGGATACGCCGCCGGAGATACCCCATGCTGTATCACGGGCTTCTCCGGCGCCGTCTTCCTCATCGGTCGTGTCCGACTACACGTCGGCGTCGCCTCCTGTTTCGAGGGCGTCGAGTGTCACGACGGTCACGGCGGATTCTCCTGGGGCTACACGTGCGGACTCATCATGCCCGACCGTCCACGAAGATCAAGTGGACGCKACGATGGAAGATGGCTCTATGTTTGTGGAAACAGTATCAGATTTTCCTGAATACAGGAGCTCCAGCGCCGATAAGGGAGAGGACTGCAAGTCCCCTAAACCAAAACCATCGCCGCATTCTGAAGGCATGGAGTCTGAACCTTCGGTGCAACCTCAAGCTGAGGAGTCTTCTGAAACTGTTGAACAGGCTGAATTTCACGTCAGAGAGTCTGTAGAGACAGAGATGCAAATCGACTCTGACGTGCCTGTCCACGAACCTGTTGCTGAGAACGCTACAGAATCAAACTCCAGCTCGGTAAGTATAACCTCTTTGAAAACTTAGAGTCAACACTTGCTTACTCGTCATCATAGCCACAATCACAAACAACTCCTTTACTCCCATCAACTCCTGAGGACATCATCAAAAGCCTAGAACTCCTAGAACTCCAAGAAAAATCAGAAGGAGAGAAACTCACACCTCTCCTCACAACCTCAAAAACCAAAGTACAAGCCGCAGAATCCGCCATGGCAGCTACACAAGGCCCCAACAAAAAAATCCAAGCCCTGTGCGAAAACTACAAGATCTTCCAGGCAAGGAAGGCAGAGATCGTCGACGGCCTGGAATTTCTCAAGGGAAACCTTGAACGACGAAACGTTCACCCAGAGTCAGACGAATACAGACGAACTCTGATGCACAACAACTCAAGGCTGCAGCATTGCGAGACCACCATATGCAATGTGCAGAAGGAAATCGAAGAGGAATTCAAAAAGGCGACAGATAGGGAGATTGAGATTAGGGGGCAGCTTGAGAAGGAGTATGCTGAGTTTGAGCAGCTGCAGAATAAGGAGAGGGGCATTTGCCGCAATGTGCAGTATTACAGCTTCATAGCCTCGCTGTTGAGGTTGGGTCCTTTGGGGCTGGATAGCTTGTTGTACAAACTGCGGTATGGCGGTGTTGATGTGGTTGGTGAAGTCAACAAGGTAAGTTATCTTGATCCGTCAAGGCATGAACAGTTTAACTAACTGAGATTATAGAACTCTCCTAATGCCGTGCTGGATCACGACATGACGACCTAAGTGTATAATAGTCAGATGATCTGACAATCAAAAGCGTGTATAGGCGCACTGGAGCGCGTATTGTGTTAATGTACTGGGATTTTCTCTTCTATATGGTTATGATCAACGGTTTGAGTGTGTTTGGGTGCTGTTATTGAATGGAGCGAGCGTTGCAAGACCTCATGGCTGAAAAGCCAGCCGATACCACATGTGTTTTGGAAAATACCATTCTTAATTTCTCTTCTTCTCAAATGATTGAGCGTCTGCGTGGTGGGCTGTGAAGTAATATTGTCGGTGTTATTATGAGCGGGTTAAGGTTCACGTCTTATGAGGTTGACGATGTTTCATGGCGGTTACGAAAGGGATGACGTAGCGACGTTTGAGAAATCAGAGGTTGAAACGAGTTTCAGACAGCTCAGGTCATTGCGGGTCAACTGTTGCTAATTCTTGGCAGTCCTGTGGCTCAAAGGTTTATTAAATGCTTAGAGGGTCAGAATATACCATAGAGCTTTGTGATTATGCACCTGGTTACCGAGTATTAAATCGGATTTCCCATAAGCAATCCACCACCTCTTATGACTCCATCTCTCAAGAGCCCACTGTTGTTGAAGAGCCGCTAGGGTCTGGTTCGCCAGCGCCCGTAGGGTAGGCATCAATCTAATGACTCCGCCAAGACAACAAAACACCATCTTCAAAAAGCAGACCAATTAATCGCATCGCATCCCAGTCTTGTTCAACTGCGATGATAAGGCTGACCAGATTCTTCAACACCCTTCATCTACCTAAACTCCACTTACAGGCAGCTCGTGATGTTCTGGAGCGGGGTTGTCGTAGCAAAACACGCCTCCTGCTGCTGCAATCAGCAAGGATCCGATGCAAGTTACCCGAATGGCTTCGATGGTTCTGTAAAAAGAGGCAAACCCTGGGCCACTAGTATTTTCTACGGGGACAGTAATGGTAGGGCACAGTGGCTGTTGATGCAGGTCCGTTGGTCAGCTGCATTAACGGTTGCCTCTTTGGATGGAACGGCAAAGGGTGACAGAAACCCAAGTCTAGAGGAGTTAAGATATTTATATAATTTATCTAATTATTGTATCAAATAAGTAGAATTAGATAATAAGAAAACTAAAAGAAGAAAGTATCTTCTAGATTACCTTTTTTCTCAAGAAATCTATGCAATAGTCCTCAAATTGTAAAATCTTTGACAAGCCTCAGGGTAGATCGGCGGTTTCTTTTGTCACCTCAGGGGTCAATTCACCGTGATGCATCGCCTTATGCAGGTGAGACTTGTTGGCCAACGACTACGTCAAAAGAGGCAGTGAATAAAATGCGCCGAGAATCGAGTGAGTGAACGAATGAGTGAATGACGAAAAAAAGGCAGCCAGAGTAGATATATAATCACCCTCTTTTCCTCTCTTGACCTCAGCCCATCCCCAGCATCATCCATCATGGCCACCAACACCACATCCACCAGCACAAAGACCATCCTCGCCCTAGGCTCAGTCAGCAGCCTAGTAGAATCTCTCTTCCCCGGCGGCACAAGCCTCCCGTCTGTCGCATTCCTCCTCTACCTCACACCCTACCTCTTCCAAGCTGTTGGCGGCGCTGCAAAGTCACAGTTCATCTCGAGTGTCGAGATCAAAGCGCACGATGAGATTTTTAATTATGTCATGAGCTGGGTTGCCAGGCATAAGCTCTCGCGCAATAACCATCGCCTTCTTGCGTCGAGCACCCTGGACCATGAGCCCTTTTCGCTGATCCCCTCACCAAGCAATCAGGGTGATGGGGACGATGATGTTGATGATGTTGACCCG